TAAGTAAAATTTATATTTTCAATTATATCAATTATATTTTTAAACTGTGTGAAAATAGAAGCAAATCTATCATTATAAGACGTAGGGAGTAGTAAGTATTTAATTAAGCAGGGTAAATATTATGAAGATTAAAAAAGTAGGGTATATTTCATTCTTTTCGAAAATAAGAGGGTAACTAATGCAATTTCCTCTAAATTTTAGGCGAGGTCCCAAACATTTTATTTTTGCAGTTGGGGTTCCAAACCTTTCATCTCTATTGCAGCTAGAGGACATATGGACGAAATTCATCCATTTGATTGTCAGTTGACCAAATGATTTTTTATATTTTCGTTTATTTTTGTTTAATTGTTGTAATTATTTTATATGGGATAATTTAGTCCGATCGTTGACTTTTGGTAACAGTCAAATGGATGAATTTCATCCACATATCCTCCCGCTGTATTCGAGACGAAATGTTTGGGACCTCAGCTACAAAAATGAAATGTTAAGATATAGTCTACAACAATTAAAAAGATTTGGGACCATGCTACAATTCTCCCATACTTCTATTTGAAACTTTTATTTGTGAAGTACTATGTAAATTTTTTTATAAGTGCGTGCGTGCGTGCGTGTATATATACATTAGAATTAGTTATTTTTGTTCACCGTTTAATGTTACTTTAATTGTTATTTTTTTAAATTTATATTTTCTATATAATTCATTGCTATGTTTAGATAATTATAATTATACATTTTTATAATAGAAAATTCAATATATTCCAACATTGACACTAGGTTGCATAATTTGAAACCTTAACAATTTACTTTCAGGATGATGACTGAAGATATCCTTAATCGCCCAAGAAATTAACGTGCCAAAACTCCTAAGTTATTGTTAATTATTAAACCCTTGTTTGAGTCACATTATATTTTTCATTCTCATTTTTCTACTCATTTTCAACCACATATTCTTCAATAAAATAATATTTTTCATTACATCTATAAATTTTTCTTCTTTTTCAACCACATATTCATCATCACATCAACCAAAAAAATACATTCTCTACACAAAAATGCCTACTAAACAAAGGCTAAGAAACCTCAATATACTCGCCATTTATTTTAATTTATTTTGTTTTACTTCATGCTCCATAAATATAAGTATGAACAAATCTAAGAATATCACATCAGTTAAATAGATCAAACATGTTATAAAAATTAACATTTTTGTCATAAAAGACACTTAAAATATACATAAAATAATTCCCAATTTAAAATGAGTAACTAAAACAAAATTAATATCTTCATGGAAAATTTAAAATAAGACCAATGCTGATTGTACATGGGCCATGTACTATCAGCAGCGCCCCCTATAGGTGGGGGACTTGGGCACCCCTTGTGGTACAAGGCTCATGTGGCCCTGTACAACCATCAAAATCTTTAAAATAATGTACGACCTTAATTAATATCTTTTTAATTGGTCAGAGAGACATCAAAAATATTATACAAGTAATTAGATGTTATAAACATAGTGAGAAAGTGATTTCTTTATTGCATGAAATAATAATAACTCAAGCCTACCCGGAATTGAAGAAAACTTGAAAGAACACAAAAAATAGAAAAATGGAATGCAAAAGATCCAAACAAGAGTTGAACTCTTTATCTTTAAAATAGAAAAATGGAATGCAAAAGATCCAGACAAGAGTTGAACTCTCCAAGAACAATTAAAAAGATTTGGGACCATGCTACAATTCTCCCATGCTTCTATTTGAAACTTTTGTTTGTGAAGTACTATGTAAATTTTTTTATAAGTGCATGCGTGCGCGCGTGCGTTCGTGTATATATATATTAGAATTAGTTATTTTTGTTCACCGTTTAATGTTACTTTAATTGTTATTTTTTTTAAATTTATATTTTCTATATAATTCACTGCTATGTTTAGATAATTATAATTATACATTTTTATAATAGAAAATTCAATATATTCCAACGTTGACACTAGGTTGCATAATTTGAAAGTTTTTAGCATGAAATCTTGGACATAGAATAGTTGACAAGACAAATAGGCAATAAAAGGTATCCAAGTTACGTTGTGAACATTTTAAATGCATTATACCTTTCTTTTACATTTAATCAACAAATCGAATAAAATATATTCATTACTTGCATAATTGATATCACATAACTTCTTCGATTATTCAAGAAATTGGACTAATGATTTAATTGAGAACCTCATACAGCGTCACTATTTAATGCACAGTGTTTAACACTTGCTGGCAAACTTACGATAAAAGTGTGTAATTTTGTGAATTTTTAGGAGGATTGAAGAATAGCATTTAAAAAGTATATACGTTTACTTATAAGTAAATAAGTAAATTTTAAAATTAACGACTAATTTATTAAGGAACATTTGAAGATATACACAATGGAATTGGATGTTGACCTTTTATAAATTATTATACGGTGGATGCACATGCTCAAACGCGGGTTTTAATTGAATTGGGTCACGGACTTATGCGGTGCACCCCACGGAATTGAAATGGGGACCTTCAAATTTTTAATTTTCATGCCCGTGAATGGCGGGCAGGCAGCCGGTCAATTGTATTTGGACGTGCTGACTGAATTTGGAAGCGAAAGACTCTCCTTTCACTTTCCCAAGCAATATAAAGTTTCAAGTTCACGGTTTCATTGGGCACATGGAAACTTACCCCCCAAATTAATTGAAAATATGATACATTGCATTCAGGTCCACACATATTCAACCACCATTCTACTCATTTAAAAAATTCACCCTTTTCTTTTAAATTGCAATAAAGTATTTGTATGCGAATATATTAGTGAGTATAAAGTCGTTATATAGTGTAAATAAGGGAGTTGCTCGATAATAATTCTTAGGGGAATCTTGATTTCTAGTTAAATTTGAGTGTCGGACTCGAAATGCTGTCAAATTAAGGAGTGCTTTGCAAACGGGACCTTTTTGGAGGCGCTATTAAGAAAATACCCTTTTGTATAAACTGGCGAAAGTTCGATCAATTTTTCAAATGATATATTAATTATTAAGTGAATATCTGATTGACAAAAGTTGTGCACTAATTTCCTTACGTACTTCGTAGGTAGGCAAAATGAGGAATTTACATACAGAGCATGTGAGAAAATTAGTGCACAACTTTTATTACACATATTTTCATAGAGCAAATAATATATCATTTAAAATATAATTGAATTTAGGGTTTAACATGGAAAACAGAGCGCAATTCGAAATTGTACATACAAAAAATCATGCACATTTGTAGTTAGGCATCAAACAAACTCAAGATATGCACAATAAACTCGATATTCGCATAGCAAATCTCGAGTTTGATTGAATATCCAACTTCAACTGCGCATACAATTTTGAACTACAACTTCGAATTACACTTTTTTTTTTGTTGCTTCGTGGAGATCTGCGTAATAAAAGTTGTACTATTAGTTTCGTCTCAAGCTCCATGTAGGGGGCAAAATTTCTCAAATGGAGGCTAAGTAAAAACTAAATAATTGGTAAATTTAGGAGGTGGAATATTGGCTTTCTTGTCAATTGGTTTACCTACAATTCAGTTAGGCTTGCAATTCAGGATGGGAAAATGTTCTAGGTTGGTTGAGCGTCCCCTTCGATATTAAATAAATAAAATAACGCTTCCTTCTTTTGGGTAATCTTTTACATCACCGTGTTGAATTTTTTGATTTATCACCAACATGGTACAACTACGGTTACCAATTTTATTTGAATTGAAATAAAACTTTCTATTTAGTAATAAAATAATTTTACTCGTAAACTGAAAAAAATTTCTTTTTTTTTTTTTAACCATACATTCTTAAAAAAATCAATATTCCAAAATACATTTTCTTACAAAAAAATCATTGCACGCGAATATGCACATTTATAATTTCTTGATGACATCGTAGGGACTAAAAAAAGAGCTTTTGTATAATTTGTCAAATAAAGTAATAAATTGACAGTCGCGTTTGAGAAAATAACAAGGAAAGTCTCTAGTTTTTTTTAATCTATATTTCTATAAAAATCATTCTCGATATTTTTAGTTCATATCAAGTTGTTATTCAAGCAAAATGAGAAATCCAATGCACGTTTATGTATAATTAAAGATTGTAGTTCTAATTTTTCACAAATAAGTTAAAAATATATTGTTACTGCATGACGAGTAAAATAAAGAGTAATGATATTTGTAATCCACGATTATAGTAGTTATCCTATATGACAACTTGTTTTCTGATATATTAATTTTCAGTAATCTTGTTGCCTCAAATAACAAGATGTCACACGAGATGATTATTGCGATTGATTCCTATGAATAACATTATTCTAAAATAAAATGTATTATTTTTAATTAAGCCAATACTTATATATAAGTGATTTTTTTTTCATTTAAAATTTATGAAAATGGAGCAGTGACTTAATTACAGACAGTACTATGTTTCCTATATGAGAAATGCTATTCATCCCCACTGGGGATTCATCCCCAATCTATGTCGTGTTAATGTGGTATTAAATGATAGATCATTTAATTTCACCTATCATTTAACCAATCATTTATATCCACATAGACTGAGAATGCATTCCTACTGAGAATGAATAGCATTTTTCTTCCTATATTGTCTATAATTTGGACAACAATTTTTGAAAACAGTAGTTTCCATTTAAGGAGGAAACATAAAATCCAAGAAAACAGATAATCTCATCAATTCCACTTTATTATCACTACAAACAACAGTTGATCTGTACAAGTTACTTCAAATCCAAACCCTAAAAAGAAATGAATGTTTTCTCTCACTCCAACCTTTAACCACTCACCAAAAATTCCCTACTTTATTTTTTTCTATCTCCATACAGAAACAAGAAATACTAGAAAGGGAAAGAAACGACAGCCATGGATTCTCTTTCACCAAAACACACCAGCAATGGAGCCTAGAGAGAAAACCCAAAAGGAAAAAAACAAGAACAATCCACATTGCTGAAATTTACTGCAATGGGGAAGGCAGAGGATGAGCAGCCTTTGCCTAGTACAACTCTTGATACTCAGAGTGCAACTCCGAGTGCAGGGAACAGTAATGGGTGCTGCTTGGGTTGCAGTAGACTACTTAGAAAGGTTGTGACTCTCAGATGTATATTTGTTTTGGTGCTCGGTGTTGCAGTACTTCTATCTGCTGTTTTCTGGCTTCCATTCTTCCATTTTGGGGGTCGAAAGGATCTGGATCTGGATTATCCAGGTTGGTGTGACTATATTTCTTATCACATTTTTTAAAATAGATTTGGATAGTTAATATAGCACATGAAGATCTTTGTGTGTGTTTTGTGATGCTAGTGAATTATGTTTGTGCAGTTCATCTATGGGTTTTGAATCGGGTGTGATATATTGTTTGATTTTGGGATTTTGGGGTATTCTTTTGGGAGATTAATCATTTGAATTTTTATGGTTGATTGGACGCATTCTAATTTTTAGGGTTGTTGAACAATTAATTTTGGTCATAGGAAATAGCAAATTGAAAACTCATTAGCTACATTTGGATTTCATCATACATGTAATCGTGCATTTTAGCGTTGTATACTATTTGATGATGGGATTAGATCACTTTTCTTACCCCTCTGGTTCTTCATTTTGTTTGTTGATTGGATTTCTCCTTGATTAATGGAAGTGTAAACTTAAAATTTCACTGTTCTCGATGAGGTCAGATCATACAATTGTGATGTGTAGATTCAAGGTTGTGTAGGAAAGTTCTGTTATTTATTCAATCACGCAGGTGTCATGTTTTTGAGTTTTCATTTCCAATTTACAAGATTAATTTTGTAGAGCTGTAGGTTCTTGAGTTGATAGATTACAAATAGTTTTGATAGTTAATTGAGGGATTCTAGTCAGAATTAGTGTGTTTTATGAACTTCTGATTGATAGATTATATCCAAGGGACTTTTAGTGCAGCTGCTGAAGATATAAGTTCTTGTAGCATATAATTGTTTGTAGCCGTTCAAAGATATTGTAGAAGAAGTATAATATCTTTTATTTTTCTTGCACGTGAACGACCTAATTTGTTTGTTACTTTATTTCAGTCAATTACTCACTGCCACCTTATGACATGCTTGAACATTAAGAGTTACAAGATGAGAGGTTGCCTGCAACAGTACTTCATATGACATAATAGAACCGAAAAGACTAATCTTCTTGAATTGAAAATGTTGTAATAGGATTCAATCATATTACCACCGAGCTCTGTCTAAGAAAGATTAGAAAGAGAGCATGAAAGCTTTCATTCTTGAAATTATAGTTACGGCAGTTGTATTAATGAAGTGAACTTTGTAGAATTTCAAGTGTCATTCTAGATTAGACTAAGCTGCTGTTCATTTGGATAAAAATTAGATTTTTAATAGATTTTGATAAAAGTTGGTGAAATATTGAAATTTGTGGTTTAAAAGATGATAAAGTTGAGGGTCCCATGTAATATATGGTTATAAATGAGTTTGAAAAAAAAAAGTTTTAAGAAATGGGGGTCAGGCAAGGGCTAAATTGGTGAAGAGAGTGCAACCTTAAGGATTGAAGAAACGGTTAAATTATTGACCTATTACTGAACGCCCATATCAATTATGACATGACTGAGGTAAGGTATGCCTAAATCCAAGCAGAGCGGAAAATCCTAATAGAAGGGATTGTGATGTATGTCATACTTTACTTTGCTTGATCCTCTTTTCAAACATGGGAGATAAAAATAAGGTTCAATCCTTCATGATTCTCATTTATTGGAATCTGCACAATGAGATAAGAAGTGGTGAGGTAAGATGCACCAAAATCATGTGGAGAAGTCTAATACGTAATTGCGTTTGGACTCTACATCACATTTCATGTGTTCGGCTATCAATAACTTTGTATACTAGGTGGTTAGAAAGCTTTGGGCCTCTTTTCAGTGCTTACGTGGCTATCTTAAACTGTTAAATCATTCATTTCAGAGTTAGTAATTATAATGCTTCAGCATTATTGCATTTATTCAAAAGGTTTTATTTGCATCCATATGACTTGTCCACAAGATGAATAAATGGCAATTTAACTTCTTTTTAACTTATGGTGGGGCACAAATTTCATCATTTACTAAAATTTTAAATATCAAAGTTGAGCCGTTGAGGGTTTAGATACATTTTATGCTCTTCCCTACTTATCACTCGCTTTGATTTCCGGGATTTATCATTTTTCTTGTCATTTTGATTTATTTTTTGTGCTTACATGGTATGTTATGGCGTTTCCACTATTTTGTCTCTTTGTGATAAAATTAGTAAATACAAAGTGAATGTGAGTCTTCTCTCTCCAATTATTATTGTTTTGTATAAAGCCTTATTATTTCTCTTTCTTCATTTATTGGTAACACCTCTCTACTATATTAATTTTAAGTTTTATGAATATGTATCCATTTGGCAAAATTTATAAATCATTTATAAATGGTCGAATTTTATTTTCAACCATATATTTAATGGATCCACAAGTACTATCCACTTATTTACTATTAATTTCTATCTATTTTATAAATTAAACCATTTATAAATTCTTCCCAAACAGAGGCTATTATCTTTCCATAGAAGCTCTGTTAACCATTCTATATTCTAACATGTTTGGTGATGTAGAATCGACAACATGGTAGATATAGACTTTGTTTGATTTCCATTTTTTTTAAAATATATATTTTTTAATCACACATTCTTCAATAGAATAATATTATATGCAACTCAAAAACTTTTACTTCATTTTTTACCAAACATTTTTCATCAATATACTATTCCAAAATACATTCTACCTAAAAAATGGGGCTCAAATAGGTTACTAATTTAGGTTGGCCAATATATGTGGTAAGACACGAGGGCTTAAATATGACCAAAATGAGCTTAAAATTCATTAGTCATTGCAAAAGCTTATAAGAAAATCCTAGAATTCATAAAATAATCGCAATTTATGAAATGCGTAATATAAGTTTCTGATTTTTTATGCTTCGATTATTGCCTGGATTGGATGAAAACTTGCTCTTAAGTTTTGACTTTCCATGGCTATTAGATTGCCCTGGTGTTTTGACTTCCAATGATTATTAGGTTGTCCTATCAATCATTTCCATTGTTTTTGCTTGTTCTTCCGTCTTGTAAAATCAGTTTTTCCCTGTTACAATTCTATTTTGTTTGCGATAAATTTTACTGTATAAATTTGCTTCTGCGATTTGTCCATGTAGCGTATCTTGAATAGCGAAGTCTGTATGAGTACTTTTCAATATGTCTTTCAATCTAATCAGATGATAAGATTGTTCAATCGACTTGAACTAAAATAAGGGGGGAAAACTCTCGGCAATTGAGATTGAACTCAAGAAAAATTAAGAACTATTACTATTGAATAATGACGAGTTAATGTACCACAATGGAGGAGCCTGAATTCTCATTTGTTAACCAAAAAATAAAGTCAACTCTAAACTCTAAGAATTACGATATTAAGATACCTTAAAACAACTTGTAAAAGGAAACAAGATACTCCATTGCATCCTTTTCATTCTCCCAAGAAGTGTGCATATAAGCTATGTTGTCATTTGTTTAGATTGGCATGAACCACAAAATTAACATCTTTGCATTCTGAAGATACCTTTACCCCCTTCAGTTCACTATATACTCCAAGATCTCTTTCTCATGCATATGCATGTCTCTTACAATTTGTCCTTGTTACTAACTAGGACTACTTTTCATGTTTAATAATGAGTCATATTGAACAACTTTTGGACTCACTTTATCTGTTAGTTGGGGACTATTATCTACTCATCGTTCAGCTCTTTAGGTAGTTCAATTTATTTTTCGTAGTGCACCCAAATATAGGTAGGTCAAGGATTATGGCTCGTTTGCAGAGTTGGCCAATGAATGTAAAAACATGAAGTAATGCAAGATTTTAGGCTATAAATTCGATCATTGTAGTTGGCAGTTCTAATATGAGCTCAAGGCAGGCCACAAATGAGCAGTTTAGCTGAATTTCCAGCCACTGCTCATGGTAGTTAGATGGTTCAATTTGTTGTTTTTGGATTGTCATTCATGAATACTTTGTGCTAAAGACAAGATTTAAATGATATACATGTGGCTTTCTCTAACAGCTTAAGCTTTTAGATAAATTGGTTTCACACATGGCTATTTTATTTATCATTAATTTGAATCAACAAGGCTACTTTTCTTTAAGATCGTATTTATGAATTCTGTGTTGCAAACGTTGATGGTTTCCAAAACGTAGTATAACCTGGACCACTGCCTCGTCTCATTCTGAGCATTTGGCCTCTTTGACATTTTTGTTTGATATTCTCAGGTCGTGATATAGTGGCAAGTTTTATGATTAAGAAGCCAGCTTCTTTTCTCGACAACTATGTCGTACAACTCGAGAATGATATTTTTGAAGAAATAAGTTTCCCCACAACAAAAGTAAAGACAGTTCCCCTCTCTCATCCAGTTTTAACTTTGTTACTGTTTTTTATATATTTGTATTGATTCTTGCTCTCCTCGTAATATAGTTATCTTCTATGACAGGTGGAAATAGTAACTTTCACACCAGCTGGATCAAACACAACAAATGTAGTGTTTGCAGTTGAATCTGATGTAACAACCCGCAGTTTAATAAGATCTTCTTTTGTCTCCTTGGTTACTCATGTATCATACCTGCATTTGACTCCATACTTGTTTGGGGATCCTTTTTCTTTTGAGGTGCTCAAATTTAAAGGAGGGATTACTGCTAGTCCTGATCAGAAGGCATTCCTTATGCAGAAAGTTCAGATCCGTTTCAACTTTACTCTGAACTTTTCCATCGATGAATTGCTGAATAATTTCGATGAACTTACCAGCCAACTGAAGTCAGGCTTACATCTTGCTTCTTATGAGGTCCACCAATATTATTCTTTTTCTTTTTCACCATGATGATTGACGAGTGTTGTTTTATCATCAAGTGAAGCATCTTTATTCTTTCTATTTTTATTTACTCAGTCATGTTTGGTCAAGCTTGAAGTTACGTAAACTTTATAAATATGCAAAATCTTTGGAAATATGATTAGATTCATGAACATCACTAATTTTGAAATTCTGTATCTTTGATCGATGATATTTCCTTTGAGAGTTTGTGATGATTCCGTACAACTAATAATCTTCTTTGGCTTGTTTTCTGCGATTCAGAACTTGTACCTTAGCCTGACAAATCTGAAAGGTTCAACAATGACTCCGCCCACTACAGTTGAGACGCAAGTTCTTTTGGCAGTGGGAATTAATCCCTCGAAATCCAGGTTAAAGCAGTTGGCTAAAACCATCACCGATCCTCATACCAAAAATCTTGGACTGAATAACACTGTATTTGGTCAGGTTAAGCAAGTTCGTCTTTCATCTCTGTCCCTCATCAATGTTACCTCACCATCACCATCTCCGTCTCCATCTCCATCTCCTCTGCCACCATCCCACCACCACCACCACCGCCGCCACCATCACCATCATGATCCTAGTCTTGCACCTGGTATTTCACCTGCACCGTCAACAGGCAAAAATGGACCTGTTACCGGGAAAGAATCACCAGATCCTGCGCCTGTGCCTGCACCTGTGCCTGCACCTGCACCAGCACCAGAACCAGGGAAGAGTCAAGTGGCGAAGCCTCCTGGTTGTCATTTTGGTTACAAAAATAGGTTTCCCCGGAAACCCCATGAGCATTCTCACATTACACCTACAGCATCTCCAGTTTATGCACCACGTGTTGCTCCTTCTCAACCACCTCAGCAATCTGATCCGCCGATAACTGATGTACCTCCAGCTCCTGCTGCAAACCCATCATCAAATGTTGCTTACGATCATGTCCACCCCCCATCAAAGGGTGATTATGCAAGGCCTCCAGATGTATTGCCATTAGTTTCACCTGCACTTTCTCCATGTGAGTATTTGTTCCTTTGGATGTTTATACGAGTATACCTCAATCCCATGTGTGCAATAGTTTTGATAATGTTGTGATTCGTGAAAGGCGTTCATTTCGTTCTCCTGAACGGGTATACTTCTTTTGCAGCCTCTGCAGGTACATTTTCCTTTAGTTTATGGGCTTTTCCGCTGTTTCTACTCTTCACACATTTGTGGCAGTACAGAATGTGACGCGATTTTGTTGTGGCAATACACTTCAAAATTGTGAAACTTGTCCCTGTAATATCATCTCACCCGAATTAAACAGAGGAACAGGAGGAATTTTGTAAGTGGGAGCAATGCCAAAAGGGCACAACTCACGAGTGATTAAGAAACTATATTACTGTCTTGGGCATGTAAATATTTGTTTGTACTATCGGTGGCTAAATGCATTCTGGTCAAAGTCACAGAGGTGACGGGCCTGTGATGACATGTTACGCCGCCTTATTGTGTATGATATCACTTCTACATAAATCGAAGGAGGGGAAATTGTAATGAGCTATGCTAGATGTAAAGGGGATTTTGCCAGATTTTGTACAGGATGCCAGGTCTCAACATTTAGTTGGTTTGTTTTAATTTTTTTCCAGCCAACATCCAATCCAAAAAAGCCATCTCTCTCCCTGGTAATCTGGCAACATTATTCTGTACAAGTTGCTTAACACAATTGTAATACACCAGCGTTCTGTTTCTGTTCTCCTACAAGTACCATGATTATTCACACTAATTGGCATAAGAAACATGCTTGTTATGCTCGGCTGAACTGAATTTGTCATAGTTGTTTGGGGAGGGCGTAAAACTTGTCATACATATCGCAGTGAAGATTGGATTTCGACATTTAAGTGACGGTATGAATTAAAATTCAAGACATTTGTTTATTTCGGCACTATGTTGAACAACTTGATCAATTAAGAATATGCATTTTTTTTATTTAAAGTTTATCTTCGACAATTTGATCGACCGGCTGGCCGGATGCAGATGAAACCCGTAACTCATTTTAATCAAGTCGGACATTTGGCCCCTTGACATTTTCATGTGCTCTGGTTAAATTAAACGTGTACTTTGATTTTCATTCAAGCCACGTCTTTGTCACATCAATGCCTAACGTACCAAATAAATTCTGTGAATATTTATGGATTGAAAAGTAATATCAAGATTCCAAAGAGTAAGAAAAATAAAATGCTAAATTGGCCATAAATCACAAAAGAGTTTGATTCCTTCCCTCGTCTGATAATGACCTAATGGTCCTTGTCCAGATAGACAAAACAAAAATAATTGAAAAAATATATATATATTTAGTTGAGAAGGGATGAATGACTCTTGATCAATTTGAACGCAAAAGTTGTCAGACAAAATATATAAAAATATATTTAGTAAATGAAGAATAGAAAGAAAATTATTGCAATAATAGATTACGGAGTTGGAAAATAAAGTTATCACAACAATAAATTTATGGAGATGGAATTACAAGATTCGGTCTCTTATCGTAAGTGTTTGAAGTTTGTTTAACGTATGTCTATCATAATACACAACGAAACAGTAGCAAGCATAGCACCAAGCTTTTGCACCGGCAAATTGAATTTGCCTGAACACTATTAAGGGACCAAACTTTGACTCAGGATTCATGTCTACAAGACGAGCTTGCAAGTCCACGATTTGCAACTTGTGTGCTGGAATGAGAGAGCATCTATGCTATATAAGTTTATACCTTCATAAAATGTAGTCATATGTGAACAAGTATTTTCCTTATCCTACATAAATAAAAGAGCGAGTTTTCTTTTCACTATTCACAAGCCGCTTGGCCACCGAAGCCTAGTCGAGTTCGTTGAGCCGTGTTAGCCGAGCCATCTTTTTTTTTATTATATGTTTGATTCACTATTTTAAGTTATAAATATTCGTTTTAAGCGATTTAAAATTTGTTGGAAATGTTGAAGTGCGGTTATGATAAGAGTGTGTTTGGGACACATTCTTTTGAAAAAAATGTATTATTGAATAGTAGATTGATGGAGAATGTGTGGTTAAAAATGAAGGAAAAATTATTGATGTGATGGAAAATATTATTTTATTGAAAAATGTGTGGTTGAAAATGAATAGAAGAATGAGAATGAAAAAAATAATGTGTACCAAACAGGGCTT